TCTCCCTATAGATCAATGGCTCCTATTTGAGTCATTATTTGACTCTTTGAGCTGGCTTGCCGGTATCACTCTCTGGTCTCTCTCGCAAGTCTCTCTGGTCTCTCTCCCTGGTCTCTCTTTCAAGAATCTCTCAGGTCTTGGTCTCTCTGGTCTCTCTCTGGTCTCTCTTTCAAGTATCTCTCAGGTCTTGGTCTCTCTGGTCTCTCTCTGGTCTCTCTTTCAAGTATCTCTCAGGTCTTGGTCTCTCTGTTCTCTCTCAAGTCAATCTGGCCTCTCTCTCCAGTCTCTTTGGTTTCTCTCTCTGTTCCCACTCTGTCGTCTCCCTCTGGTCTCTCACTCTCTCTCTGCTCTCACAGTGACGAGAGCAACACATTTTATATTTGCATTGCACCCGTGGTTGTGGTTTTGAAGCTACACACCCCAGCTTTAAGTCCCAACACAAACACACATAGATCTGTATTCTGTCAGCTTACACCATACCAGCATCTGCTTTGCTTGTTCTGCTGGTTCAGTATCGATTCTCCTGGTTTAAAGTGACATCTGGTCTCTCCTGCTGCTGTGGTCACTTCCCGTAGTCTTGTACTTAAAGCCCACAGAGAGAAACCACAAGGGTCAGGAAACAGGGCTTCTCTTACTGCTATTACTGCAGACTAGGGATGTAAAAAACTATGAATTTTCATGACCGACCACCGAGCCTCATTAACCGGTTGAAACCGGTTAACCGCGTAGTTTAAAATAGTCCACGTTCTTTGAAATAACAGCCATTTCGAGCCGCGTATTTTTCATAAGTGCAGCTGAGCGTTCTACTGGATCAGAGCCGAGACAGCGGCGCCAAAACCCGCAACAGCTCCGGCACCTTTGCGCACAGAGAACTCCTTTTTTAATCTTCCCATTCTGCTGTGCTGCGGGTTAATACCAAAACTTTCTAGCAGCAAACGACGGCTCGTTCACATGGTCAGAGCAGCGAGTGACGAGCCGCGTCTCACAGGTCTTCACAAAAGTTTAAATACAAGTGATGTGTGTGGAGCTGATCCCGAGGACCATAAACACAAACATGTTCCATGTGGTTTGACTGGAGCCGCGTATTTGCGCGAATCCTTTGGGCTCCGTGACACAGAGGAGCGCGACAGACCGGTATGTGTGTGTGTACATGTGTGTGTGTGTGTGTGTCAGGGACGTGCAGTCAGGGGAGTCAGGGGAGGCAGAGCCTCACCTGCCATTATTGGAAACTAATAATTATTTTAGTTTAAATATATAATTTATATCCACTGTCCTATGCTTTTAATGTATATTCGGCACGGTTCCCATCAGTTTTGATCATTTCTGAAGTCAAAATCGCCGAAATCCCGTTATTCCTATTCAAAGAGACGAGGTGAGGCAGCGCTCCTGCGTGCCTCACCCCAGACCGCTCCCTCACAGTGTGTGTGTGTGTGTCTGAGTGCACTCAGCTCGTGCAGTTGATATATCACCGTTTGTTTCAAATATCCTGCTTTAAAAACATTTTTTAAACTCCTCTTAGTGTTTAGTAGTGTATTGCACGTATGTGTGTACAATTTATATTTAGTTTAAGTCTTTTGATCGTAGATGAACATACAAGGAAAAAGCTTGGCGTGAGGCAGGCGGTATCTGTGCCTCACCGCTAGGGGTGATAGTGAGCATAAAGTTCATACCAGAGTTGCTAACAAACAATCAGCCCAAAATGCTATTTCTTTTGCTGGAAAATGGATGATTTGAATGAAGATTTTTTTTCTCAATTGGACTTTCAAACAAAGAAAGAATTAATATAGACTGGGAGACCACCACTGGACTTACGAGGTTAGTCCGGCTGCGGGGGAGGAGTTTGTTAATCTGTGTTTTATGTTGAACATTGACAGATACCGGCAAAGTAGTGCTTTTCCGAAAAACACTGATTCAAACACTGCTCAAGAGTTCTGCAACTTGTTTAAATTATTGTTTATGTTCCTCGCGTCTCTCTCTCCTCGCGTCTCTCTCTCCTCGCGTCTCCGTCTCTCTCTGCTCCTCGCGTCTCCGTCTCTCTCTGCTCCTCGCGTCTCCGTCTCTCTCTCCTCGCGTCTCTCTCTCCTCGCGTCTCCGTCTCTCTCTGCTCCTCGCGTCTCCGTCTCTCTGCTCCTCTCTGTCTCTCTCTGCTCCTCTCTCCTCGCGTCTCTCTCTCCTCGCGTCTCCGTCTCTCTCTGCTCCTCGCGTCTCCGTCTCTCTGCTCCTCTCTGTCTCTCTCTGCTCCTCTCTCCTCGCGTCTCTCTCTCCTCGCGTCTCCGTCTCTCTCTGCTCCTCGCGTCTCCGTCTCTCTCTGCTCCTCTCTGTCTCTCTCTGCTCCTCTCTCCTCGCGTCTCTCGCACCTGCGCTTCTTAAAGATGTTGTTTGATGCGGAGCAGAGTCAGCAGCTAGATTTGTTGTGAGATTATTAAAAGAAGCTGGTTCTCTTATCTTTACAGTATATAAAGTTTGTGGATGTCATTGCATTGGTGATTAAATGCTATTTTATTTGAATAATGATTGTAAATCTGACTTTTAAAGTCAGTGCCTCCCCAATCACAAACCTCACCGCACGTCCCTGGTGTGTGTATGTGTGTGTGTGTGTGTGTGTGTATGTGTGTGTGTATGTATATGTGTGTGTGTGTAAATGTAAGCTCCAATGTAGTTCTGACCCGCGCCAGTGTGCAACTTTGACGGTAACAGAGGGGAGAGATGATGCGTGTGGATGTTACGTATGGAGAGGGGGAAAGTGTGTGTGTGTGTGTGTGTGTGTGTGTGCGCGCGCGTGCGTGTGTGCATATGTGGCTCGTGCGGCGTGAGAGTCGTCCCGGAGTTTATAATACATGGGCGCACACAGCTAGATACAGACCCGCTCGTCACACCGTGCAAATAGGGCTTAAAATAGCGTTATTAAGAGACCTCCCCTCTCCCCTTTTTCTCTTTTTTAACCGACAGCTTTGACCGGTTAACGCTGTGACGGTCAACCACCGGTTAAACGGTCGCCGATTTACATCCCTACTGCAGACACAGGTACACAACACACGGGTGCTACTCAACACACACACACACACACACACACACACACATCCATCCATGTCCCACAGAGAGGAAAACCAGAAAACACTTTGCTATCTTCTCCTGATCGTCAAACACATTACAGTGTATTGTGGGTTATGGTGGTTTGTTTTCCATTCAGACTTGTTGGAAAGATCTCACCGGAAAGATTCAAAGACCAGAGAGAGAGAGACTAGAGAGAGACTAGAGAGTGAGACTACAGAGAGAGACCAGAGAGTGAGACTACAGAGAGAGACCAGAGAGTGAGACTACAGAGAGAGACCAGAGAGTGAGACTACAGAGAGAGACCAGAGAGTGAGACTACAGAGAGAGACCAGAGAGTGAGACTACAGAGAGAGACCAGAGAGTGAGACTACAGAGAGAGACCAGAGAGTGAGACTACAGAGAGAGACCAGAGAGAGACTTTGTTTAGCACTGGTGTTTATATTGAGATATTGTCTTTGTAAATCCAGATATGAGCCTTGTTTCTAAATCAATAAGGATTGACTTAGTAATACCTTAGCAACCCCTGTGACGTGCAAAGCTAACTAATTGAATTATAAATGTCTATAATGTCTAAAGGACAACAATAATGCAAAATATTTCTTTTGAAGTTCATGAAAGATTAGCGTGTGGCGCCACCGCAGGTGAAAGCCAGATCCTGTCATACCTCTGAAGCTAAGCAGGGCACGACCTGGTTAGGGATGTGATGGGGGACCTATGGTCCTCGTTCTACAACCGCTGCGTGGCCTTGGTACTCGTTCTGTAGCTTAGGTCCTGGATCTACAGCCCGTCTGTTTAGTTTAGTTTAGTTTAGTCCGTGTGGAGTGGACCCCTCTCTCGATATGGACCCCCCCGAGGTTTCTCACTTTTCTCCCACTGGGTTTTAGAGTTTTTGCTCTGATGCAGTTCTTCAACATTCTACAACATGTATTTATCAACATGTGTTCTATATTTTTTGTGTCTTAACTGTTGATTCTCTGATCTACTGTATGTTGGTGATTTCAATGGTTTTGTTACGTCTATGAGATGATACAGTTGTGATTTAGGGCTATACAAGAATAAATTGAATTGAATTGAATTGAATAGTGGGGCGGCTGTAAAGTGATGAGCAATAGTTGCGTCCTAAGGCAAGACACAATTATTTGTATTCTCATTATCATTATTATTATTATTATTATTATTATTATTACTAGAGAGAGGCTCAAGCAATACCCCATCAAGGTATTATATTAGATCTATGACCCACTCCTGTATTCTCTGCCGGGATATCCTAACCTTGTTCTGTGTGTGTGTGTGTGTATGTATTTGTTTGTGTGAGAGTGTATGGGTGTGTGTGTCCTGTATATGTGTGTGGATGACAGACAGACAGATGTGTGTGTGATAAATGCGGCGCCACGGCTCGCGACACAACAGCAGCAGCTCACAGATAAACATCACCTGCAGCTGAGAGACTGAGGAGGAGGACGAGGAGGAGGACAAGGTGGAGGAGAAGGAAGAGGAGGAGGAGGACAAGAAGGCGGAAGAGTAGGAGGACGAGGACGAGGAGGGCGAGGAAGAGGAGATTGGTTAGTTGCCTGGCCTGGTGAATTGAGTCTGCCGTACCAGAGGTCTGGAGAGCGGTGGATTGGTCTCTCGCTGGTCTCTTTCTGGTCTCTCTCTGATCTCTGCATATGTGTGTGTGTGTGTGTGTGTCTCTCTTGTCCAAATGAGTCACAAGACCAAAGATAAGAGCGACGCCACTCTATCGCAGCATCAGAGCACAGCCAATGTCACGCTGAGGTGTGAGGGACCTGGACTGGGCGAAATCCTTGCCGTGAATAAACACACATACTATTACACATTTCTGCTTCCTCAAACAACCGCCAAAACTACAATACCCATCATGCCAAGTTATTCGGCGGCCTATATATGGTGCATTATTGGTTAGCATTAGCATAGGAGTAGCATGATCAAAGCACGAATGACCAGAATGGAAACAGACACAAAATCAAAACACTGCCAAAGAACCACACTGCAAAATTCAGAGGGTGAGACGTGAGGGTGAGACGTGAGGGTGAGACATGAGGATGAGATGTGAGGGTGAGACGTGAGGGTGAGACATGAGGATGAGATGTGAGGGTGAGACGTGAGGGTGAGACATGAGGGTGAGATGTGAGGGTGAGACGTGAACCATGTGGGAAGGGAGATCCGAGAGGTTTGTATGGACCAGGGACCAGAGCAAGAGCATCGGTCCTACCTGCTCCGGTGTCCAGGAGGCTGGACTGCCCACGGCGATCCGAGACCAGACGGGACGACCCAGGCATGCTGACGGGCTCCGAGCGGATGGGCTGGATCCTGGAAGTCACACCGAACAAAACCTGAATACAACTTGAATATATTATACACTATATTAGGGTTAGGGTTTGTTTATTCCTTGGAAATAAATGGGAGCCTTTATAAGAATTTCCCCTCAGTATTAAAGCTTAGATTGTGAGTTTGGTGCAGTAAATGACCAGTTGAGTCGAGGTTTTTAGCCCCGGTTCGGTCTCTATGGTTCCATGTTCCTTCTCCTTGTCCCTCTGGTCTCCCTGTTCCCTCCCCTTGTCCCTATGGTCTCTATATGGTCTCCCTGTTCCCTCCCCTTGTCCATATGGTCTTCTTGTTTCCTCTTCTTGTCCATCTGGTCTCCCTGAGGTCTCCTGGTCCCTCTCCTTGTCCCTCTGATCCCCTGCTGGTCTCCCCTGGTACCTGAGGCTCTGCAGGTCCATGTCGTCTGTGTCGAAGTCGAGCAGAGGTTGTTGGGCCTCAGTCGGACCCTGAGACTGCAGGACTGAGGAGGAAGAGGAGATCACGGTGGTCTGACCAGAAGGATGAAGGGTCTTGAACTGGAACTGAGGCCCCATCCAGAGGCGGCGGTGAGGGCCCGTGTGGGTCACGATCTCCACCTGATGAGAGAGAAGGTCAGAGCTCAGGACCCGAACGTTTAGCTTCAGGAATAAGTGATTGTGATTACAGTCTCAGTCCTGGATCTACAATCTCAGTCGTGGATCTACAGCCTCAGTCCCCGATCTATACCCTCAGTCCTGGATCTACAGCCTCAGTCCTGGATCTACAGCCTCAGTCCTGGATCTACAACCTCAGTCCTGGATCTATACCCTCAGTCTTGGATCTACAGCCTCAGTCCTGGATCTACAACCTCAGTCCTGGATCTACAACCTCAGTCCTGGATCTACAGCCTGAGTCCCAGATCTACAGCCTCAGTCCTGGATCTACAACCTCAGTCCTGGATCTACAACCTCAGTCCTGGATCTACAGCCTGAGTCCCAGATCTACAGTCTCAGTCCTGGATGGCGGGTGTGGTTATTGGCTGCTGCTGTTTAGATCTGGTTTATAGTCTTGCTTGGGTCCTATTGTAGCCCTGGTTCCATCTAGCTATAGTCTTGCTTCAGTCCTGGTTCAGTAATGGTCTAAAGTTCCTCTGATGGCATGACCTGACATGCAGTCCCTGTGCTGCTGTCACTGCTGTCACTGCTGGCCTGCCTCAGCCTGGATAAGCCTGGATCAGCCCTGGGGGAGGTCTCTCTGCTCTCGTCACAGACAGTTAGCACACGGACTGTAACCAGGACTGACACCAGCAGAACACACACTCACACTTCCTCCATCCAGCGTCCTACTTATGAGACACGAGAGAAACCAGAGAGAGACCAGAGAGAGAGACCACAGAGAGAGACCAGAGAGACTAGAGATTAGGGAGAGACCGGAGACATGAGAGAGCGACCATAGAGAGAATAGAGAGCAGAGAGAGATGAGAGATCCGAGAAAAAAAGAGAGAAAAGAGAAAGACAAAAGAGAAACTAGAGACAGAGAGAGCAGAGAGAATAGAGAGGGATCAGAGGGAGACCAAAGAGAGACCAGAAAAAGACCAGAGAAAGACCAGAGAGAGACCAGAGAATGACCAGAGAGAGAGACACAGGGACACAGCCGGTTACACTTCCAAACTCTTACTTAGATTTAACTTCTGTCTCGTACAGTGTTTGGTTTCTTCTGTGAGTATGATCCCAAATCAAAACTAACGTGTCAATAATTCACAAGTGTTCGTCTTGCAGCACTCTGTCCTCCTCGGAGACCTCCTTCACTTTGCATTATGGTGACTTATCCGAAGCCCGTCTCTCACCTCCACCGGCTAACGCAGCTAAAGAGGCTAACAGTGGCTAACGGTGGCTAATGCGGCTAACGCTAACAGCTCTCAGACAGCCGAGGGAATGCCTGATTATGCTGTCGTAGGCGTTAGGGCGAGTAGATGTAGATGAGGTCTGTCACGGAAGTGCAAGAGAGGCCAGGATGGGGGAGAGACGGGGGGAGGAACGGGGGAGAGACGGGGGAGGGCAGAGCTGGGAGACACTTGTCACCCAGAGTGCGAGTGCCAGCAGATGCCCCAGCTCTGAGTGTTGATGGAGACCAGGGGAATTCAATTATAATCTACAGTGAGGAAGGTTTTCAGAGGGCTGGGTTTGTTCTGTGTTACTGGTACCATGTGGGCGCGGCGACCAGCTGAACTCAGATAAACAAGGACAGAGCGGATACCATTGTTTCTGGCTCCGATATAATCTCAGGAATACTAAGGTTAAGATTATGTGGAGCAGACAGAAGGTTGAGGTATTATATGGTACCTAGTTCCAGAGAGAGATCAGAGAGAGACCAGAGAAGGACCGGAGAGAGAACAGAGAAGAACCAGAGAGAGACCAGAGAGACACAAACCAGAGAGTGACACAAGAGAGCGAACAGAGAGAGAGACCAGAGAGAGACTAGAGAGAGAGACAAGAGAGACTAGAGAGAGAGACCAGAGAGAGAGACCAGAGAGAAACCAGAGAGAAACCAGAGAGAAAGCAGAGAGACCAGAGAGAGACCGGAGAGAGAACAGAGAGAGAGTGATGTGGATTGGTCACACATTGGGTTTGGGGCTGGAAATACTTCAGACCGAGAAGCTGATGCTAATATGAGCTAGCTTGTTCTGATAACATACAGTTTAAAGACGCCTTCAGCGGAAAATACAGGGGTTTATGGCAAGATCAAGTGAAAACATGAAGAAAAAACATCCCTGCCCAACACAAACAGCCTAAAACCCTTTTACTTTACAGCTCTACGTCCGTGGATTGGACTCGTTCTTGGACTAGAGTGGTCCAGGTCTCACTGGGAGTCAGCAGAAAGTGATGGATAGTTTTGCTCCTGGCTAAACTCGTCGCGGCCCAGAGTCTGGTCCACAGAAGCTAAGTGTGGTGCATCTGAGAGCATGCATTATACATGAGATGGAAGTATTAATGGTTGAAATGTGGCGTGTTACCTGCTCACACCAGAGGAGAGACCAGTGGGGAATAACCAGCAACACACCAGATAGACTATATAACGGTTACAACTGCTGCCATTATCTATCTGCCAGGCTCTATAGCTATGAGAGAGCCAGAGAGCCAGAGAGAGAGAGAGCCAGAGAGAGAAAGAGAGAGAGAGAGAGACCAGAGACCAGAGACCATGACGAAAGAGAGAGACGAAAGAGAGGGACCAGATACAAGAGAGACCAGATAGAAGAGAGAAACAGTGACCAGAGAGAGACCAAAGACAAGTGAGAGACGAAAGAGAGAGACCAGAGAGAGAGACCAGACAGAGACCAGAGAGAAGAGACCAGAAAGAGGACAGAGAGAGACCAGAGAGAGACCAGAGAGAGTGACACCAGAGTGAGGCCGGAGAACCACACATTTAGTAGACTGGTACATAGAGTCTGGTTCTGACCTGAGAGAGCCACTCCTCGTCCTCTGCTCCGCTGTGGTCTGAGGCCAGGCTGTCGGATGACTCGTGTCTGGTGATGGGACCAGGACTTCCAGGAGGCATGGCTGAAACGAGACCGGAGAGTCTGATCAACCGTGGGCTGAGTGGACAACAGTGGGAAAGGTGGGTGTGATGTTTGGAACCGTGTCAACTTGTCAGCAGGGGGAAGACAGAAAGTAGTCAAAATACAAGGGATAAAAATAGGCACAGAGCAGAGAACCCAGGACCAGAGAGAGACCAGTGAGGGATCAGAGAGAGACCAGAGAGAGAAACAAGAGAGAAACCAGAGAGGGATGAGAGAGAGACCAGAGAGAGACCAGAGAGAAAAACAAGAGAGAAACCAGAGAGAGAGAGACCAGAAAGATGTACCAGGGATAAGACCAGATAAGACCAGAGAGAGAGCAGAGAGAGGACAAAGAGAGAGACCAGAGTGAGTGTTTCCCCCCCCCTAGTGGGATTGGGAATAAAATAGGGCTGTCAACCGATTACAATTTTTAATCAAGTTAATTACAGCTTAAAAATTAATTCATCGCATTTTGAACTCGGCAAAATTATGCCATATTTTTCTGTACAAATTAGTTTTTTAAGTTGAATTCCCACATGTGTCTGCGGCATTCTGAGTGTTATTATGGGATGCATGGGCGGGTCATTCGGAACATGCGTCAAACGCCCTATTTTCTTACGCGATTAATGAACACATTTAATGAACGTGCATTAACGCGATAATTTTGAGAGCCCTAGAATAAAAGCATCACACACTTGCCATACTGAGGCCTGTAACATGTTCTTTAAACTACATTAAATAATAGCTGTGGGTAAAATGTAGGGCAAATCACCACGACCCAGAGACAAGACACGAGCTTGATGAAGTTGTTCAGACGGATCATTCTCAGTGTGTGACTTTCTCGCCTCATGAAGGAGTGTTAAACAGGCACATTCTGGAGGAGGAGGAGGAGGAGGAGAGGACGGAGACCAGAGAGAGAACAGAGGGAGAGACCAGACATATAGACCTGAGACCAGATAGGCCTGAGAGAGAGACCAGAGAGACACATCAGATAGGGAGGTCAGAGAGAGAGACCAGAGAGAGAACAGAGAGAGAGACACCAGAGAGAGAGACCAAAAAGCGACCAGAGAGACAGACTCGAGAGAGAGAAACCAGAGAGGGAGAGATCCGAGAGAGAGAGACCAGAGAGGGAGAGATACGAGAGAGAGAGAGACCTGAGAGCAGAGAGATGTGCTAACGTGTTAAACAGGCTCATCCCGGAGGAAGAGGAGGAGGAGGCTGGAGATCTGCCACATTAGCCCGGCCGCAGTGACCAGTGAAGCCTGAGAGGGGGCCATCTGTGTGGGGAGGAACGAACACATGCAGCCCCCCCCCTCCATAACACACTCACACGCTAACATATGCCCACACACACCACAGCAGTATCAGGCTATTGACAACTCAAACTACTGCTACTAATGCTACTACTGCTGCTACTACTACTGCTACTACTACTGCTACAACTACTACTGCTGCTACTACTACTGCTACTGCTGCAACTACTACTGCTGCGACTACTACTGCTACTGCTACTACTATACTACTGCTACTAAAACTACTACTAATTCTGCAACTGCTTCTACTACTACTGCTACTACTGCTGCAACTACTACTGCTGCGACTACTACTGCTGCTACTAATGCTGCTACTATGACTGCTACTACTACTACTACTGCTACTACTACTGCCTACTGCTACCACTACTGCTGCTACTACTACTACTGCTGCCACTGCTACTACTTCTGCTACTGCTACTACTACTACTGCGACCACTGCTGCTACTACTACTGCTGCTGCCACTGCTACTACTTCTGCTACTGCTACTACTACTGCTGCTACTACTGTTACTACTACTTCTACTACTGCTGCTACAACTTCTGCTGATACTACTGCTACGGTACTATTACTGTTAGAGTTATAAAAAAGCACTCTGATCCGTGTGTGTGTGTGTGTGTGTGTGTGTGTTGCTGGACGCCTCTCTGACCCCGGGGGCCAATAGGAGTGCTCCATTTCATTATTGATGAAGAGGAGCAGAAGGTGAATGCACTCCTCAAGTTTCACGTCGACACAAATGGAGAAAGAAAAGACAAAACAATAAATAATAAGTCCGACAGCTTTAACCTAATCACACAATATTGAGATGTTTTTATAGACACTTCTAGATTTAACTTATTATTTAAACTTACTCCAGAGAGAGACAAGTGAGAGACAAGAGAGAATAGAGAGAGAGGAGAGAGAACAAAGAGAGACAAGAGAGAGGGACGAGAGAGATACCAGAGAGGAGAGAGAGAGAGATGAGAGCTGACAGAGTGTAGGGAGACCAGAGAGAGAGGAGAGAGACCAGAGACAGAGGAGAGAGAGACCAGAGAAAGAGAGACATGAGAGAGACCAGAGAGGAGCGAGAGAGATGAGAGCGGAGAGTGTAGGGAGACCAGAGAGAGACCAGAGAGAGAGAGGAGAGAGACCAGAGATAGAGGAGAGACAGACCAGAGAGAGAGAGGCATGAGAGAGACCAGAGAGGAGAGAGAGAGATGAGAGCGGCGAGAGTGTAGGGAGACCAGAGAGAGAGAGGAGAGAGACCAGAGATAGACGAGAGAGAGACATGAGAGAGACCAGAGAGAGACCAGAGAGAGACCAGAGAGAGACCAGAGAGGGACCAGTGAGAGACCAGAGAGTGACCAGAGAAAGAGCAGCAAGAGACCAGAGAGAAACCAGAAAGAGACCTGAGAGAGACCAGGCTGAGACCATAAAGAGACCAGCTTTTCCATAAGAGAGAATAAGGAATTTCATCTACCAGAAAAGCCTCGGAGCTGTCAAAGCAGGTAAAGTGTCACACGTGCCATTCAAACTGGGTTTGTGGAGATTTCTGATCAGGGCCAGAGGGGGAACTTTCTGCCATTATCATTTTAAACATGTTAATTTGAATTGAATCTCCCTCCCAGACATCTGTGAGATAGAGGCGTCTTTGAGAGCGCCGTGGTGAACCGTGGTTAGCTCTGGTTAGCCGTGGTTAGCTATGGTTAGCCTGAGCACTGGAGGTTGAACGAAGCCAGCGCGTGTTATTGACGTGAGGCCAAAGGGCAGATGTACGGCGGCAGATAAGGGACACATGTGATCCGTGTGGGCAGAGAGTGGACCAGCAGAGACACAGAGTCTGAGGAGAGAGCTCTTATCGTCGCTCTGAGGACAAGGATCTTCTCACTTTTCAAACATCACTACCACATGAACTCTGACGGATTCGAGGATCAATAAACGACAGCAGCTACAGTATAAATAGAACGTTATAGAAACTAGTATGTGTTATTCAAAGGTAATGAGAGAGAGAGAAAGAGAGAGGTAAGAGAGAGCAGAAAAAGACCAGAGACATGAGAGAGAGGAAGACCAGAGAGGCATGAGAGAGAGACAAGAAAGAGGGGAGAGAGAGGAGAAAGACCTGAGAGAGACATGAGAGACCAAAAGTGTCATTGAGAGAGAAACCAGAGAGAGGAGAGAGACAAGAGAGACCAAAGAAAGACAAGAGAGAAGAGCAAGAGTAGAGAGACTGTAGAGAGAAGGAAAAGATAGACCAGAAAAAGGAGAGAGACAAGAGAGCGGGACTACAAAGAGGCCAGAGAGAGATATGAGAGAGATGGAGACCAGCGAGAGAGACCAAAGAAAGAGACCAGCAACAGAATCTACAGTGAGAGACCAAATAAATAACAGACACCGAGAGATTTCCGGTCTCTCTCTGGTCTCTCTCATACTAGTGTTACATGATGTTGGAGTGAGACTGAGACTGAAGTGAACCGTGTTGAGAGTGAGGGACCACAGTCACTGCTGGCCCACTGAACGCTCTCTCCTCTCCCCTCTCGCCCCTTGCCCAGTAGCAGCAGCCTCCAGTGTCTCTCATTATGTCTCATTCAGAGCGTGTGATGGACAGCTCTTTAGTTTGGCCTCTCTCTTTGATTACTGGGGCAAACATGGAGGCCAGGGCTCGGTTACCAAAGGGGTCCGGGACATTCCCCCCTGATCCTAATAGGAAATAGGTCAGAAATCTGTCTGAGCGTCAAACTATAAGAAGAACAAGTTAGAAGTCTATTTTAAAGATATTTTAGAGAGAAACCAGAGATCAGAGAGGGACCAGAGAGAGAGAGACAGAGAGAGACTTGAGAGAGAAACCAGAGAGAGACCAGAGAGAGAAACCAGAGATTAGAGAGGGATCTGAGAGACACCAGAGAGGGACCAGAGAGAGACCAGTGAGATTCCAGGGCGAGACCAGAGAGAGACCAGAGAGAGACCAGTGATTAGAGAGGGATTGGAGAGAGATCAGAGAGGGACCAGAGAGAGACCAGAGAGAGACCACAGAGTGACCAGAGTTAGTGACCAGAGAGAAACAAGAGAACAGAGAGTCCAGATACATATACTGTATACTAGAGAAAGCAGAGAGGGAATGGAGAGAGACCAAAAAAGAGAGACAAGAGAGGCCAGAGAGAGAGAAACCTTTAATTTTCTGTTGTAAAATGGTTGTATTTTATTGTTCCAGTCTCTTGACTAATAATTGTTTATAGTTCATATCATAAGAACTGTCTTTTATCGACTTTTGTATTGCTTCCTTCTGACTCTGCAGCACTTTAGGCATTATTTTTGAAGAGCGATCTACAAATATAAGGTTATTATTGGTACTGAGTGAAACACGGGCGGCCTGACGTCTGCCTGTGTGTGTAAACTTTAAAACACAATCATAAATGGAGTGTGTTTGCGAAGGCGCACGCTGCCTCGAACGCAGACGCACAGGTGCAGATGTGGCGCCTGTCTGAGCACTTTCTCTGCTCTCTGCATTTTTAATCAGCTCGGGTCATCAGATACAGAGCCGCGAGACCCGAGAACCCAGCCGTCAATCACACGTTAGCAGGCTAGCGGCGGCGCGACAGAGGTATATATATAGACAGGTTTACCGGATCATGACTCCAGGTGAAGAGAGCAGAGAGAGAGAGGAGAGAGAGGGGAGCGAGAGGAGAGAGAGAGAGAGAGAGAGAGAGCAGG